GTATGATAAACATCTCAGTGAGACTGTGGCAGTGCAGCCTGTGCTTTCCAGCTCACATGCTCGGCGATAGCATCAGTGCTGTACTGGAGAGGTAGCACCCATAGCGGGGCATGCTGCCACCCCTGCATCCCTCAGCCCCCTCCGTGCCTGCTGCTGGGGTCAAGGATGCTTGCTGAAAGGAGGGTGATGAAGACATGGGCAGCAGACAGCCCCCGGGCACTCCTAGGGGACATCCAAGCTCCAGCTATGCTGCTCTGGGGGTGAGAAACCAGCCCCAGGTGCTGTCACCAGGGCAGCTCAACCATTTTTGGGGACTGACTGTTGGTCACCACTGCTGGTGGGCACAGGTCACCCTGCCAGGTGGGTGCTGCTGATACAGCCACCTGCACCCACGTCACTGCTGTAGGGTCCCAGCCCCAGAACCCCCTGGGAGGGCACAGCAAAGCCTTTCTGCACAGCCACAGGGACATCCCAGACTCCTGAAGCTCTAGGTGTGCTCCACATGGGCTTCCCCGGCTGCTGAAATAATTTCTCCATGGAAAGGGCTGTCAGGCATTGGAATGTGCTGCCCAGGGAGGTGGTGGATTCACAACCCCTGAAGGTGTCCAAAGAATGATTGGACATGGCGCTTAGTGTTCTGCTCTACTTGACAAGGTGGTGATGGTTCACAGGTTGGACTTGATGATCTTGGAGGGTGTTTGCAACCTTATAATGAGGTCTTTTCCAACCTTTACCATCACATGGTAAAATATATCCATTGATTGCTGAGGGAACAGGCAGGGCATGAGAAATTAGGGAAAATTGAACTGAGTCACTTGCTATTCCTTTCCCCAAGAAGAAATACATGGTGACCCTTCCCTGGCTTGCTGGAGGAGCACACTTACTTCTGCTGTGCTGCTGTGCTGGGTTTGCCTATTCTAACAGTACTTCCAGCACCAGCAGAGTCACTTCTCATGTAGAAACCTGCTTTAGGAGCTCAAAAATTTGTGTTAAAATTACAAGATGTAATAAAAAGAGTAAAATAATGTGAGTAATGCAATAAAAACGCATGAACAGCCTCAGTGAGAGGAGCTGCAGACACTCATCCTCACGGGCTCTGGAAACACTTCAGACCCTGAGCTGAGTCTGGGATTGGGGTCACAGGATCCTGATTCCATGTGCTGTCCTGCTCTCAGGATGCCTGAGCTGGGGAGGGCACAGCAGCAGGACCTGCCTTGCCTGGTAGCACTGTGTCATTCACACCAGGCAGTGCCTGGAAGACTGGACAGATAAGATCAGCTGCAGGCACACCTGCCCAGACCTGCTGCACCCCAAGCAGGTGCTGCTCCTGCAAAACCCCAGGAAACAACATGGTTACTGACCTTTTATTCTGACTGACACAACACACATGGATTTGGTACACAAACAAGTGGGTTTAAGGCAAACAATGACCTCCAAGTTGCTTTTCCATACCCTCTAGCTCCCCTAACACCTTTGACAGAGGTACAGCACATTAAGACCAGGGTGAGAAAGACATCTGGAAAGAAACAGGACACAAACACACCTTCCCAAGCCAATACATGGGAATAAAAGCTTTCATTGACACTTAAGCTCTTTGAATCCATGTTTGAAAATGCATTC